GGGTGTAGCATGTGTCGTGGATGCTGGGTGGAGTGGAGGGATGGGGGTGGGTCTGAGTGGCTCGAGGTTGGTCTCTGCTGGGTACAGCATCCACGTCTGTCACACAGGTACTTCCGGCCTCACATGTCTCCTTAGGAGTCCTAGAGAAAGTGCTCAGCCATCTCCGTGTCACTCAGGATGAACCTGCCTCAGGTCCACCTGTGACCAGGTTGCCTTTGTCGTAAAACTGGGGACAGGGGTGAAATAAAATGGACTCTTGTGTTACCAATGAGCTCAAGACTAAAACAGAAGAGAGAAATCAGTGTCTCCCTCTAACTAGGTGGTATGAACTTCTCAGAGGCCCAGCGATCTGCATTGGGAGGGGACACTCAAAGACCAGCCCTTATTCCAGATGGTTCTGGTTTTGACTTTTACCCTTCCCAACAATCCCACTTGTCACCGTGTATTTGTTTGGGTGTCTGTGTGTGACCACATGTCTAGAGCCTTTTTCCACAAGTGAGTCTAGGGATAAATGTTTGCCTTTTCTTTTAAAAACAATTATTGGATTTATTTATTCATTATTTATGTGAGTGTGCACATCTCTGAATCTCGGCATATGTATGGAAGCTGGAGGCTGGTTTGCAGGTGCTGCTTCACTCCTATTATGTGAGTTCCAGGGATCGAACTCAGGTCCAGGCTGGGTGGCAGGCACCTTTACCTATTGAGCCAGCTAGACGACCCTAAGCACCTTTCTAATGGTGCAGTTGCCCTGCCAGAGGCCTCTCTTCACGACATGCTACTATCCCTGGCTGGTAGAAGACACAGTTGTGTTACACTGCATCTGTTTTCTTCTCTCGTCCTCCACTCACCACTGGGACTGCTCTTTATGTTGTTTAGAAGTATGGTTCCTCGAAAAGGACTCAGTGTTTGTGGAACTCTGTGTGTGCTAAATTATACACACGATGCTGCACTGTACACCCCACCCCCTTTTTTGTGTGTGCCAAGACTGCAAATTAGCAGAGGCTCCTGGCTCCTTTGCCAAAACCAGTCTGGCAGAATGACAGGCCTGAGGGAGGAGCTTGGATCTGAGGAGATAACAAAAGATCCTAAGGCAAGCTCTGTAGGAAGCTGGGGACAACCTAGACTGCAGGGTGCAGTTATAGGGAGCTGAGCCAAGGGTCCTGGAGCAGGGGAAGAGCAGGGTCAGACCGTGGGTGGGGGTGGAGGAAACTGTTCTTTTCTTTTCTCTCATCATGTAGCCTAGGCTGGTCTCAGATTCAGGCTCCTCCTCAGCCTCCCAAGTGCTGGACTTACAGGTGCAGGTTACCACACCTAACTAGAGAACTTTCTAGACTGTGCTTTTCTTCTGTTTTGCTCTTTGGTTCTGAGATGACCAAGCTCTAGAGGTGTGATAATGTCACCAGAGCGCTTAGGGTCAGAGGCTTGGATCCTGGCAGCTCTAATGAGCCAGGCTCAGTCACCCAACCACAGCAGGCCAATTAAAGGAAAACCTCAGTAAAAGAGAAGAGAATTATATAACCAATGTAGCCACAGTGGAAAGAGGAGCAAAGGGGCCCAGTGAAGCCCAACCTGTCTTCAGGGTCTTGACATGAGAGTGCAAGAGGTTTGCCTAAGTCAGCATCCCTGGACAAGACGTGGTCCTGCGTATCACTGACCCACTGTTCCCTCTGCTCTGGCCACCCCCAGAAGGTGGTTTAGTGAGCTCTCAGAACTGTGTGAGTCAGATTCTTCCTCTGGCGGGCACCAGAGATTCCCATGGAGATTCCCATTTCTTGGGATCTTCACTGAAGGGTGGGCACAAGTGTCTGTCTAGGGTATCTTCCTTTCTGTCACAGTGACACCTGGCCCAAGCCACTACTGGTGAGAAATGCGGAGAGCAATGCAGGCTCTCTTCTGCCCCCCGAGTTCATTCCTTCCTCTTCCTGTATCCTTTTAACCGGGATGGCAGGATGAGGATCTCAGTCAATGATGCCGATTCAATTGCTTGGTGCAAGGTGCTGAGCAAAGTACCTGTCTATGGTGGCAGCGAAGGGGATGATGGGAAAGATGGCCTATCCCCTCTCTGTCCCCTACTGACAGTCATCAGGAGACAGGACATTGACTGGACTACACAGAACATCTGATTCAGAGCTGCCAGATAAGGGACGATGTCAGCCGCCCAAGGCAAGGACAAGGAACTGCCTGAAAGCCCATGAGTATAAACACTAATTATAGAGAATGTAATTACAAACCCAGGCCAGCTTGCTGGGTGTGAGGGAGCAAGCCGGTAGCCCCAGTGTAACGGAACACAGTGGGTTAGCCTCTCGGTGGCTGTCTTGGCTTCTTTTCCGTTTGCTTTGATAACCTGGACAGAAGCAACTCAGGGGAGAAGGCACGCACTCTGGCTCACAGATCAAGGCAAGCTCATTGCGGTGGGGACATCAAGGCCACAGGAGCGTGAGGCAGCTGGTTCCGGTGCATCCACAAAAGGAAAGAGCAAAGAACGCTCCCTAGTACTGTTTTCAGGGCCCCTGATCTCGAGAACGGTGCCAAGCACAATGAAGATGCGTCTTCCCATGTCAGTTAACGGAATGAAGACAATATATACATATACATAGCATGCCCAGAGGCTCTGCTGCCAGGCTGAGTCCAGCTTCTGTGCAGTGGACGCAGTGGGGATGGCTCTCTTTTACTCCCTGATACAGGGTTTCTCTGTATAGCTCGGGCTCTCCTCTAAGTCACTCAGTTTATATGTTAACTAGCACTAGATGATAATGCACTGCCAAAAGAGCATCCTAAATGTAATAATAATAATTATTATTATTATTATAATGAAATTGCATTTAAAAAATTATTTGTATATATATATATATATATATGTATGTATATACACATCACACACACACATATGTGAGTATGAGCACACAGGTGCCTGCCGCTACACCCGTCATGTCTGGGTGAGAGGACAACTTTCTCCCCTTCCACTTTAGCAGTTCCAGAGATCAAGCAGGTTGGCAAACCTGTTAATAAACATTTAAACTCACGAAAGCCATATTGCCTGCCTGCCAACTCCCCTACCTGGCTCAATCCTTTTTTTTTTTTTTTTGCTTTTCTTGGATGTTTACTTGACTCCTCAGTTTGGGTAGGAAGTGTTTTTGGGAATGAGTTTTGGAAGGTTATTGACAGTGTTGGTGTGGGCATGACACTGGGAACGGATTTCTTGTGCCAGAGTACTGATTATTGCACAAGGCTCAGGCTCCGGCATTGGGGGAACTTGAAAGGGCAGAACAGCTTCATGAAGCTCATCATCTCAAGCCTCAAATCCCAAGTTTTCATAGCTGAGGAAGGTGCCTCAGGTGCCTGGCTTGCCAAGGAGTTGATGTAAGTTGAAGGATCACTATCCGATGGTGGGAGGAGTTAAAAATCTCATCTTCTATTGGATTTAATTATAATAAAAAAACTCTCATCTGGGGGTTGGCATGTTTTAATTTTTTATTGCAGTTTGTCTTTATCTTAATATGTGAAAAATTAGCAGATTCGATGTAGGCAGAAGGGACAGCAGAGAGAGACAACTGAGTGCCGTCCCTCGTCAGCCCTGCTCCCACAGACGCACCCGGAACTGGGGGACCTCACTGGTTTCTGACTGTTCCTTCACAGGCAAAGAGAAGTGTGGAGCTTTCAGGGCATCTTAAGGATCTGTGCAAAGCTTCTCAGTTTGACAAGTGCAGTAGGCACAGGGGTGTATTTTTGCTCGGTGGGCAGCTTTGCACACGCCATGGCTCTGACAGTCTTCCGGGAGTGGGTCTGCGCCAGGTGTGTGGGCACATGGTGCCATCCACCGTAATCTCTGTTGTCTTTAAGTTCAAAGTGGCAGAGCCTTGACAGAAGCAACTCCACTTTCTTCTGCCTGCTTCAGCTTCTGCATCTTCCCATAGGCTAAGAAAAACAGTTCTTGCCTAGGGGTGGGGAGAGGGAGTTCAGCCTTTGACAGGGATGGCAGCTGTAGTGGTTGGATACTGCTTGACATCTGTGTCCCCTCTTAATTCCCAAACAAGCCCTAGCAGGAGGCTCTGACAAGGAGCTCCACCTGAATAAGAGAATCAGGGCTTAAAGTGGTGGGGTATTTATGGTTAGACCTGTCTAGACTAACCTGGAAGCCTGTGTGTGTGTGTGTCTGTGTGTGTGTGTGCATGCCCATGCATGTGTAGCTGCCAAGGTTTTTCCCTTCTCCTGGTGATTCGCAGGGCCGTGTGACCTCCGGCTCCCTGGAGACTCTGCACTAGCTCTGGCTTGAGGGTATTACCTAGCAAGAACCTGGTTCTCTTTGTTATGTTGATTCCACTTGTATTCAAGGTCTTACCAGTGGGCCTATAGCCTACCTTCCCTAGCTGACCCTGCCTGAGGGGCCGGGAAGCTTTAATCTTCCCTCCTGCTCCTGGATGGGAGGAGGCCTTGCATTTTCGATCCTTCTAGCCCACTGGTATAAATACCTGACTTGAGTTTAATAAAGTGGCCATTTACTCTGGTGAATGAGCAAAGGTCTCTTTTTGTGTGTGTGTGTCTCTTTTTTCAACCCTCAGGACAATCGTCCATTCTCGTGGGCTCGAGTTCGGGAAAGCGCGCAGCCTGAACCGGGTGTGGGTATCCATTGGGAAGTGCAGACTCTTACATGCATGCAGGCATTTATGTGCACATTTATGTGTGGAAACTGTAGAACAAGCTCAGGTTTTGGTCCTCAGGGCACCATCTACCTTGGTTTTGGAGGCAGGGTCTCTCACCGACCTGGAACTCACTGATTCAAGTAGGCTGGCTGGTCATGGAGCCGCAGGGATCTGCCTGTCTTTGTTTCCTTAACTCTAAGGTTGTAAACAAGTGTGTGCTTCATGTGTGTGGGTTCTGGGGTTGAACACAGGTCCTCAAGCTTGGTAAGTTCTTTATGGCCTGAGCTATTGTCCAGACCCTATACTTTTAGCACATATACTTTATATCAGTCGCATTCCACGCTAAGAGAACACACACGGTTGTTAGTGAAGCACTTTATTTTTAGGAGCCTCCGTGGTACTGTGAGGTAGGAGGTTGGGTGCCAAGGGGAAGCTGGAGGCAGACGATCTTCCCGTCCAAGGTAGATGAGCGACAGGGAAAGATCAGTCTAACTCACCAGGTTTTGGGTCTCATCTGAGTGATGACAGAAAGGCCCCTACCCTGCCTCTAGGTGGGAGAAGGGTGTTTATCACAGGGAGGACGTGGCTGAGCTGGTGAGGGGGTGCTAGAGGAGACCTGTCTAGACTACCAGAGAGTGTAAAAATGAGCAGCTGGGTGTCTTCCCTCTGCAACGCTTATTGGAATAGAATATATAAGGAAACTTGAAGGTTTGCAAGTTCCGGGCAAAACAGTCAGCGGCGACTTTGTCACATTGGCACAGCTGTCTCTGACAGGGGTCCTGGTTGGCTGAAATTAGAGGGAAACAGACACTGAGCTGACGGTTGTTAATATCCCACGGCTGCCGGTGGGGACCGGCCTGTTCTGAGGCAAGCACTGGGGCCACTGGAAAGGCAGACCCCATTGGATGGGGACACAAAGCCCATGTGATGGGGATGCACAGTGGCCAAGCTTGGCACCGCCAGAGGTTTGCCTAACTTCCTAGACAACATCTTCTAGGTTTTAGTTTTGCTTTGTTTGTTTTTGTTTTTAAAGACAGGGTCTAATGTAGCTCAGGCTAGCCTTGAACTCTACTTGGTGAGGATAACCTTGAACTTCTGATCCTCGCACCTCTACATCCTGGTCTCTGGGATTCCAGACATGCTAAATCATGCCCAGTTTATACAGTGGTAGGATTGTTACTCAGGTCCTAGTGTACGTGAGGCTGGCACTCTACCAACTGAGCTATATTTCTGGCCCCACCTTCGTGTTAACAGACCTGCTTGTGTAAGGAAACCCAGCCTCACTGACCTCAGGATGGATGGAATTGGTGAAAACCTGTGTGGTCTATTCCTTCCCCTTGGCTGTGATTGGTCTTAGGTAATATGCAGCTTTATTCTGAATGAAGTGCTAAAGAGGAAGTCAGCAGGGGCTTCTGGGAAGTGTTCATCCCCCCTCTTCAGAGTCTTGGAGAGGGAAAGCCAGCTGTCGTGGGTGGCCAAGGGCATTCTGGGAGCTCTAGTGTGACTTGTAGTATAAGCACAGATGTTGGCACCATGCCGGAGCTGAGGACCAGGCTTGATCCCGGGCTGTAGCAGTTGCCCAGATTGGCACCACACTGCCCTAGAATTCTTTCCCATTTGACAGAGGCCCCATTACTCCCTGTGTCCCCACCCTGCAGGCATCATGGCTTGCTGGCCCCCCTCGCTCCTGCCCATCTCCCCCAGCCAGGGTGAGCCCTCTTTGTGCAGAAGTGTCTTTTGCTGCTTTGCTAAATAATAGGTCTCTGTCGCTGTGGTCCCCAAACCTCAAGACAATGGCTAGGAAGGCCCGGCTTTTTCTTGTCCCTTCTTGTCTTATTGCTCATAGTAGTCAATGATCCTCTTTGAACTTTTGACCATGCTGTGCCTTGTTTGGGGGATGGCCCAACCTTCCTCTCCCACTGTGAGCCTCACTGACTCTCTTAGGACTCAGCTTAGGTAGCACTGTTTGCAGGCCCCCCCCCTGCAAGCCTCAGTTTGTACAAAGGCTGTTTCTGCCTTGCCATTGGAGTCTTCTGTGAGATGCTAAGCAGGGATAAATTCCTCTTCTGCTGCAGCAAACTACCCAGCGCTTGTGTGTCCCATAAACACATGTGGACAACTTGCTGACATTTTCGGGGTTTTCTTACAGGAGCAGACGATTTCGTTCCCTTGTTTGGTGAAATGGTAGGGCAGTCCTAACAACGTGCCACAATCACGAATCTCCAATCGATCATAGCAGCAGTCATGATAAAAACAGCACCTGGTTGGGGGACAAATCTTGTTGAGGCTGTCTTCTCACAGCCCTGGAGTCCTGGGGCCTCCCCACTTCCCTTGACCTTTGACACTGAGTAGAGACTCAGAAACTCTGAAGTGGTATAGAGCAGAGTTTCCAATGAGCTGACTATTTTGCTTGCGGGGATGCGCCGGGACCCCGAGGAAGCAGACACTAGTTCTGTCCTAGTCCTGTCCCATCCAGAGTGAATAGGGGATAGAGAGAACAGGGGTGTCCTCACCAATCTGTTTCATCCACGGGATATCCACTGCCACCCAAGCCACAGTGGCAAGCATAGGTGAGGTAGACTAGACCACTGAAATATCCTGTCTTAAGTTCGACCATTTTTTGAAACTCTGCAAGGCCTCCTTGGATCTGTATTGGGCCTGAAAGGAGATGGAGAAATGGCCGGTGAAGGGCAGTGAGCTCTGTGCCCCTCCTCCTCCGCATTGGCATCTCTCTACTGCTTCTCTTCCCACAAATGCCTTCCTCCCCATTCCCACTGAGAGAGGACTGGGGCAATGGGAAGGGGCACTGGAGGATGGGGTGCCCTTCTCCTTAGATTACCCCTCACTGTGCTGAGTTCAGAACAAGTCTTACCAAAGGCCATGATCACAGCTGTTAGCAGCAGGAGGACCTTCATGTTGTCAGCCTGTGAACGACAAGTATACAGGACTGGCCTGGGCGTTTCCTACCGGGAGTCTCAACCTCTGCCCCAGCCCCTGCTCTGCTGTCTGACTTAGCAACCCTGGAGTACAGACGTGCTCTTGCATGGGGCTAAGTCATAGAGAGCATAGGGTGGCTTCAGACAGTGCGTCACGCGTGTCACCTCTTGTCCCTTCCCTGCTCTGGGGAATATGATACAGTACCAGGAGCGCCCTAGCACCTCCTTCAGTTCTCCTGGGAGCCTGGATTCATTCCACAACACTGGGAGACTGAAGGCAATGCCTCTCCTCATTAGATACTCAACCTGCATCCCTACATTAGAGTGAAGGCTTGGGAACTCCATCCATGGAGTCTGGTACCAATGTTCTCTTCCTCAACTAATACTGCGCATTCTCTTAGCAAGCTTTTCTAACCCTGTGTAGATTGCATATATGCACACATGCTCTTGAATTCTTCCTCAGCACCTTCATAAACCCATACAACACACTTGCACACAAATACTGTCTTGTACATGCTTACATGATCATGTCTCACATCCATAGGCATTATCGATATGCACACACGTACATACATGAACCTATACAGTCACACAAAGGCAGGAGATTCTGGGCATTACCTCTAGGTGCTGCTGCAACTTCTTGTTCAAGGGTTTGTCTTGTTTTTCCTGAATTCCAATTGCCCTTAAATAACCATTTTTTCTGCAGGTTTGGGGTAGGTGAAGTACAGGGATGGAGAGAAGGGAGTTGCCAAATGGTGGCCTCATAGATAAACACACACAATGCCCTGGGAAATCCCCCTTTTTTCCCCTCATCATCTGGCTAGATGGCCTTGTTGACATCATGATAAATTCCACCTGATTTTGAAACCTCTCTGGCACTGAGAAAAAGGCTCAGTTCTTGGCTGAGGAGGTTTATCTCTCTAATCAGGGTACGACCAAGAGGTCATGTCCCAGCAGCCACTTACAGGAGTGGGCAGAATTGTGTACTGTGGACGGAATGAGTGTATTTAAGCCAGGAATGTTCTTTTTCCTCACGGATTATGACACTTGCGAATAGGAAAGAGGACATTGATTCAGTAGAGTTTGTGCATTTCGTCCATTCATCACTCATTCAATCACAAAAGATACATGCTAAGCCTCTGTGAGGGCCAAGGCTGCACAAACTTCTTGAGGGGGTGATAAGGACGTTCAGGAGTCAAGTTCTTGGGGCCCCACAGACCACTCCAGCACGGGAAGGATTGGATGAACTGGATTCTCTGTTCCCCAAACAGCCCAGCATCTCCATATTCTCCTCTTCCTCCCCTTCATGGTCCTCCCCCTCTCTCGTCCCATGTGATTTTCTTCTCTGTGTGGTTATGTGTCTGTGGTTGTGCCTGTGTGTGCAGGTGCATGTGTGTGCAGCTGTGTGTGCATATGTTTGTGCGTGTGAGTGGAGTGTAGAGGACACCCGTGGAAATTGTTCTTCAGGAACTGTCTGCCTTGTTTTTTGAGACAGGGCCTATCATTGACCTGAGTTTCACAAAGTAAACCAATCTGGCTGCACAGAGTCCCAGGGATCTGGTCACCTTTCCCTCCCCAGCACTGGGATGACAACAGTGTGCATGTTACATAGGTTCTGAGGATTGAACTCAGGTCCTTGGGACTGCAAAGCAAGCACTTTACTGACGGAGCCATCTTACCAGTTCTGTCAGAATTTTTAAACCTGGAAAAACTCCTGCAGCTGTTCTTGATTTTTCCCACCAAATGGCCACCACCACCGTCCCTCCTAGCCCTCACCCAATTGGCAGCTTCTTAATGTTTCTTAATTGGCTTCTTAATGTTTCCTTGGTCTATGACACCTTCATTCTCCAGGCTTCTGGGATATAGTGATTTGAGTGCTTTAGTTCCTAAACTAAGCATCTTTCTCCCCCTGCCCTGCAACCTGTGCTAAGAATTTGGCTTCCCTGTCCTTAAGTAAAGCACCAGACACCAGTCCTTCAGATATTCCTACAGTAGAGGCTGTGGGGTTCCAGTGCACCCCAGCTGTCCCTCACTCTTGCAGCCTAAGGTAGATGAGTATCATAGACCTGCTTCAGACATAAGCTGGGCTCAAAGGGTCAGTTCAAAGGGTCATGTCGGCACTAGGACAAAACCAAACCAGACGCACCTTGTACCCTTTCTGTGTTCCTCTTGGAGGATGATGAAGGTGGAGGCTGTCTTCTTGGACACTGAGTGGTAGAATGGAGAACAGCTATTCTGGAACATTCTACTACCCTCAGAGAATCTAGTGTGAAAAGGAAGTGAAGGATTTTTCTTTTATGTTGTTGATAAACAGAATCATTGCATCATTCTGTAGTTTATATGTGAGACATTTTAGCAGATGTCCTTCTGATATTCTGAAAATGAGCTTATTTCATTTCTTTAGAGGTAGATTTTATCGAATATGTTAGTTGAATGGTGTCCTCCTTTTGGACCTCACTTCCTATTCAAATCTTGAAACCTTAGACTACGGCCCTGGTCGGAAATAGTGTCATTGCGGAAATGAATAGCTTGGACGAGGTCATTTGAGCCCTGACCCTATAAACCTTGATGTCTTTTGGCAAAGGGGAAGAAATGTGGGTTCAGAGAGGTGGTCACAGGGTGACAGTTCTGCTTCCCAGGGAGCCCAAGATGCCAACATGTGCAGAATGAAGGAGAGTCCTGGACAGACTCTCACCTTCAGAAGGACCCAACCATCTGGGCTCCTCTGGTCTCTGCCTCAGAGCCCTGAGCCATCTGTGTTTGATACCTGTGTCAGCAGCGAGGGAGGTGGGGTCCACACTCCAGGAAGTGTTGCCTGCACAGTTTCCTTCCCCACATAGAGCCTTGCGCTGAGGTGAAGCTGGGTTCTTGGCTTTGCCATGGAAAGTGTATCAGGCTTAGCCTGCAGTGAAGCAGGGCTCATGGAAGGACTCTTAAAGCAGAGGCCTCAAGCACAGAACTTAACAGTGAGGTGCCCAGGGGAAGAGAGAGGTCCTCAAGTGTGGATGTGGGCTTCTCATGGGAGTGTCACCCTTGGCCCTGTGCCTCTCTAGTTTCCATCACTCTGGGTAATTCACAGCAAGTTGGGAGGTCAAAGGGTGTCCTGTTATGAACAAAGTTGGAAAGTGGGTTTACAAGGTGTGTTGTTGGGAATAAGAAGTGCGAAAAGTCAAGGTTAGCAATTATTTGGGTCCTCAGTAGGCATGGCTGAACTTGTGTTTAACGTTTTTGGTTGAGATGTCTTTAGGACACTGCCCATCATCTCTGTGGGTGCTTCTGGTATTATTAGCAGTGTGTGGAGCTTCCTGGCTGTGCCAGCAGGAAGGACAAACCAAGCAGGTCTCACGTGAAGGGTTTCCTTCTCTTGTCACACCAGTTTTGGCTCTTTCTATCTTACCCTCTTTAGACTACTCATTTTGGGGGGTTTTGCCATTAGTAGAAAGCTGCTGTGAATACTACTTACCTGGCAGGGGGGATGCCATGATCACAAAGGTAGCTGCTTACAAGAAAAGAAGGAAGGAAGAAAGGAAGGAAGGAAGGAAGGAAGGAAGGAAGGAAGGAAAGGAAGGAGGAGGGAGGGAGGGACAGAGGGTGGATAGAAGGCACAATGAAGTAAGGTGACTCCTTGCCAGCTCCTACATTTCTCTCTGGCCAGGCTCCTCCCCTGAGCAGCTGACATGAAGCCTACATCAAGGTTCAGGGAGATCTCATCTACTTTAGAGACCTCATTCCCTGTGGTAGACATTTGGCCTTGGTTCAGCCTCTCAGGTTCCAGAGCACTTGGGGTGCAATAGGCAGAAGCTGCCCCCCCTCCATATATCCCACTGGCCCCACCAATCCAGACTTTGGGACTGCATCAATACTAAGGACCCTGGTGACACCAGTTGGAATTTCTTCATTTCTAATTTCTTCAGGACTTTTTTTTTTTCAGAATTCTGGCCACTTGGTTGTATTCGTTCCACCGATGTCTAACCTAAGCTCTTGGGCATCTCTGAACAAGATAAAATGTCTGCTCAAATGGGAATCACATGCTAGTTGGAGGGTGACGAGACCAAAGTGTGTTTGCTGATGAGCAGAGTCAGAAATCCTCAGCATCATGCTCACAAACCAGATGCAACAGTAGGTTAAAAAGGTCACACCCAGGATCCTGTGGGGCTCATCCTCAATATGCAAGGATGGTTTAGTATCTGCAAATGACGAAGGTAGGATCAAAGAAAATTGAGGAGGTGGGATAGGGAAAAGAAACCCTGTGTCCTGAGATCTGGTTGGTTTGTCTTTCCTGTTGGCAGAGTTAGGAAGCTCCACACACCACTGATAAAGCCAAAATTGTGTGTGTGGGCGTTTTCCTTAAGACATCTTAAGTCAAAAACCATTAAAGATAAGTAAACTAAACAATGTGGCTTTTCTGGGCTCCAAGGTCCTCAAACCCCCTAGCCCAATTCCTTTGGTACTTCTTACTGGTTCCAAGCTCATAAATCCACTTTACAGCTTTGCCTCTCAGCTTGTTGTAAACTATTTTCTCCTAGTGATGGGAATCAGAGAAATCCGAGGGTTTACATGTGCAGCTATTGCCCAGACAAGGAGCGACTCTCCTTCGAGAAGCCTGTACCTATACTTGGGGGTGTCTCACCGATCTCCTGGGTACTTGAGCTTCAGATCTAAGTCAAAAAATGCCTTTTAATGAACTTGACCTCTACACTATCCTGAAGTTCTTTTCTATGGTGTAG